AGGGTGTATTCCAATAGTAAATGGGTCAGTATTGCCCACGGCAGACCACGAGTGATGAGTGTTGTATAGTTTAATAGAGCATAATTTGCAGTTTCCATTCTTAGAGGCACTCAAAGTGCCTGCAAACGAAAATCTTGTGTCTTTGCACGCACAGTTGTTGTCACGAAAGCTACGAAGATGGAAACAAAAAACGAGCCGTGATGCCAACACGCCTGGCAAAGGTTAATGACGTCACGTAGAATAGAACATTCTTGACGCACTGCAAATACATCCAGTTTCCCCAAGTCGACCGAGGAGGCTCAACCCGAGTCGATCAACCCACGTTAGTCTCAAATGCTGATTTCTACACGAATTGGACCAACTTTGCTTCAATGTTTCGAGAACATAGCAGCACGTTTATCTTAAATCCATCGTTTGATTTTGTTATTTCCAGGCAGTAAGGGAAGGACAAAGCAGAAAGTGGGAAATCCTTTGCATGCAAACCAGGTTTCTCCCATTTTCCTTTAATGCTTGTATTGCTTGGAATTCATGAGCGTATTATTTTAGGCTGAAGGGTTTGCAACTGAGCTGACAGGGCGCGGTTCCACAAGTACGGGGACGGGAGGGTTAAGTCGGCAAGCTTGCGGTTGGGCTCAAGAACGTCAACTGAAAACGGTCCTACGATCCCGTCACACCCATTCCAGGGACATTGGTGTGTGTGGGGACCTGCGGAGTCCGCGGTGTCATCTACCATTACAAGCGTGCGGGGTGCCAACGAGAAAACCAACAGCGCATGCGCTGAGGGAGCGGAGGGTGGCGATCTAACTTCTGGTCGACCTCAAGGCTAGTGCTCGACGCACTGCGAAAACGGCCAACAATAGTGGATACTGCAACAGTGGATGCAATTACCTTAAATGACGCAAAAACACCAGCTACACAAAATCAACGTTCCAGCAACAACACGAACCCATCAATAGTCGTGCACCCATTGTGCAAGCAAATGGATTTTCTGGTAATTACGGAGCCAATTCGCGATGCATCTCAATTATTTTCACCAAAAAGTGTTTTGCGACCGTGCGAAGCGCTGAACCTACCACCCTGTTAAAATCGCCACAGCAAAGAACAGCTAGAATCACATATTTGTTCACTGCAAATGCCTTCACAATACCCATATCATGACCATGAAAGACCACTTATTGTGATGGCTACATGATGGCCATCTTCCTTACAGGCAGTGTTCGCCGACGTTAAGACATGTGGTCCAGTGCCCCAACGATCAGCCCACATATATTACCACGTGAAAGGGGTTGGTAAATGGAATAGAAAATGACAGAGCCAAGCGTCGGTGCATGTTTGCGCCACTTCTACGAGGAGAAGACCTACGAACCAAGCTGCCACACGTGACGTCATAGCAAACAGCGGCCTATAGCGTCTATCAGGGGGAGCACGCCGGCGGGCACATCGAGCGATCTAGCGCGGCACACTCGGAAAAAAGAAGTGCTGGCAGGCGAATAGTTACGGTATAGCGGAGTATTTTGTTTCTCAGCGACAGCAGAGACTGCCGGTGGCGCGTGTCCACACAGAGCTTTTTAACGGCCACCTGTCCGAACTCGGAGTAAATGGACCGCAGCTGCAGGCGCAAGAGAACCACAGCGATGTGTCGGCGAACGGACTCAACGGTCTGGCAGACCGACCGGACCGAACCGGACCGGACCGGACCGGACCGGACCGGACCGGACCGGGCCGGGCCGGGCCGGGCCGGGCCGGCCGGCCGACCAGACCAGACCAGACCAGACCAGACCAGACCAGACCAGACCAGACCAGACCAGACCAGACCAGACCAGACCAGACCAGATCAGATCAGATCAGACCAGATCAGATCAATCAGATCAGATCGACCAGACCAGACCAAACAGACAGGTCTGGCGGATCAAGACGCAAAGCAGCTGTCGGCACTTCAGAACACATGCGCACATCACGGTTCCGCAATCTAGTGTTGAAATGTTGCTTCCGGGAATATAAGAAATCAAATACTTTCTGGAAGAACAGTAAAAAAAGTCCTTACAAACGGCGCACCTGCAACACCACTGATTTTTAACGCCAGCTTAACTAATTCACAACAAATGACAGTACTTTGTGTGGCCATCCGCGTAACACGTTACGCCTGGGGAGAGGGAAGACTGGACAACAGCAAGCCCCACTGGGCACAGCACCGAGCCACGCGTGATACTGCCAGCTCCCGGCTACCCCCAGCACCGTCAACCGCCAGCCCAGCGTCAGCGTCAGTCGGCCTTGACCCCGTGCTGCTCTGTACAGTGGGCGTAACGGCGGCCGGCCGCATCCACCGCACGCACCTGGTCGTCATGAGCCCGGAAGTAGTAGCCCCGCTCCGGCAGGCCCACACCTCCAGACGCGATCTGAAGCAGTCGGGCGCAATGTCAGTGGTGCGAACATCTGTTCTTCGTCGTGCCGTTCTTCAGACAAAACACTGAGCGGTCATTGAAGTGCTTACGTGTTAATCCATTCCAAACCGCGTTTAGTAAGCCAAGTACACGCGTTACTTTGACCACGGATGCTAGACAACATTCTCCAAAAGCATTGCTTTTAGAAGAACATCAATCTGCTCTTGTCCTTCGCTTGCATGTGTAATTGGCACAATGGAGAGTTTCAGTAACATTTACTCACGTCCGAGTTATTAGTACCACTATATTGGCAAGATTACAACCTTGTTAGGGACGAATAATTGAGCTAGACCTAACTTGGCCGCTGGACGTCGACGTCAATGCTTGAGCCTTATTAGGGACGAATAATTGAGCTAGACCTAACTTGGCCACTAGACGTCGACGTCAATGCCTGAGCCAAGATACCAATATATGGTCATGCTCAGTACGTAAGCCTGACACGATCTGACACATTTCCCTTTCACCGTGTGATGTCCGTTTCATATACGCATGACGTTGCCGCTCCCCGCCGGGCCCAACGCGTCAGTTTCGTACCTGAATGATGTTGCCGCCCCCGTCCGGGTGCGGCACGACGTCGGCGCGGAAGAAGACAGTCGATGTTATGCTCCGCCTGCAGCACGCGCACCACGGCCAGCGGGTTCCACACCTGCCTCTCGAACGAGCCGACGGCGTCGAACCCACCTGCAGTAGCACACCGCCCCGCGCGGCCGGTCAGCCACCGCCGCGGAGGCCGACCAGAGGCGATGACGCAACCCCGGCCGCAGCACAATCCTCGGCGGCAAAGCGACTCTTTGGCTGCTCGGCGCTAATCGCCGTGCGATAGACGAGATGGGTGAGTGTAGCACACGGCGGTCGGTGCGGATTTGCGGCGCAGCGGTGCGACGCCGCGCGAGCGGGCGGGGAGTTCGGCCGCGGAATCGAATCAATCGCAATCGAAGCCAAGGTTGCGAGGCAAACGGCGCGTCACTCACTCAGCCACCGGGACGTGAGGCAGGCGAAATCAATTGCAGCATTAGGCCACAATTGGTTCGAGGACAGGGGAAGTGCGTAGCTCCGCACGCGCGCGAGCAATTGGCCCAGCTTCCCCGCGGCTCCATGGCATGACAAGGTCGGCCCATGACTCGGACCAGACGTCTGGGATGTGATCTCTCCAGCTAGCGCAAGGTTATGTCACTCGCACCATTTACACCGTCCGAAACAAGACGAAATAATGCATCCTATTTCTTTAACGTCAAATGCGCCACACCGTACACGCGTCAGTGAGCTGACGGATGTGTTTAGCTGCGAATGCGAGGGTGGCGTGTGTTAGCGCGACACCAGATGTTGAAAACAGGCAATAAACCTGTTCTGATAACGGTACATCAGCGACAGGCTGAGCCCAGACAAACAGAGCAGGTCGACAGTCCACACCAAGGTCCGCCATCGGACGCGTTGCCCGCGTGCTCGCGCGTTGCGTCGCGGCCTGGCGGCTGCCGCCAGCTGCGAGCGTCGCAGCTGCCGCCGGCTGCAAGCACCGCAGCCGCCACAGAGTTCCGTTGTCGCACCACCCAAACCCGTCGCTATTTGCGTCGGGACCTTGGTGCCGCCCGGTACACCCGCGGACCGAGCTGAGCAGAGCGGCCGGTGGGACGCGCCAAACACCCGGTGGAATGTGCGCGGCTGGGAGCGCGGCCCTGTCCGCGCGCCGCCCAGCGACGCCAGCCAGCGCGCGGGTGATGCGGTGCACACCACCGGGCGCGGCGCGAAGCTGTGCGACCGTGACATCGGGGGTCACGAGCCCACAAACCGCCCGCGGTATCAACATTGGTGCGCATTACGCCAGGGAACTAATGGAGTATATATAACGGGTAGTCTAGAGAAGACACGCCAAACTATAGCACCGTATCACAATTTACTTTCATGAATGGCCAAGCGACTTTGCAATGTCTTCCTCTGAACAGCGATCGCGCTCGAGTGCCCCGACTTCCGCGGCTCAGCCAGAGCTTACGTCAACAGGAGGCGGAGCGGAACCGCAACGGTCGCGCTCGTCGAAGCGCGCGGGCCGCAGTGACAGCGGGAATCCCTCCCGCACAAAAGCGGCCCGAGCGGCGGCCGGCACGGACGCGGGAGATGGATGGCATAGCGCAAGGGGGAGCGTGACGCTTGGGCCTGAGGAGGAGCCGCCCGCCACGACACTGGCCAGTTGGGCAGGGCTAACTAACCATCGGCGAACATGACCCGGTGCAGACACGCCAGGTCTCACAGTCTGGTTGGGTCATAAGCCGGCTAAAACTATGTCTGTCCGTCAGCTCCACCCCGGGTAATTCCGAACCTAGCTGATCAAGGCTCATAGGATTGGAAGATAATGTGACTGCGTGATGGGATTGCACAGAAACTCAGCCGCGTGTCTAAGGACTCCAACCGGACTGGATAATACATAGGGCTGGAATAATAGGGAATAAAAAGGGCTGTTCGGCCGTGAACTGCGAACTGGGCCCACTAATCTGACCGAGCCTTCGCCCCACGAAGCAAATCAGTGAGTGGAGATGCTCGCAAGGAACCAGACCGCCGTCGCCAGACGCACTGATGGCGGACCACCAGCTGACCGGCTGGCGCCGACGGCGACCCAGCCCGGCCGGCGTCGGTGACCTTTGCGGGCCGGACAGGCGGGTCATGTCCAGCTCGGCGCGCGTGAGGCGTCTCCGCAAATCAGCCCGCAACAGCTGACCGCGTCCGCCCAGGAGTGTACCCACCGGCGGCTAGCTAAGCACTAATAGCTGAGGCATGCCGCGCCTGAAGAGCTTCCCGGCATGCCAGCCCAGCCAGCCCGACAGAGAGTCAGGCAATGGCGTGGGAGGTCAGGGGTGAGGCACTGAATGGCCACGTCACTGCCCTACCAAAGGTAGCTTCGGGAGCGTTGCCAGGAAGAAGGGGCTGAGGAAACGTCCGCCCCTTGTTCCTCGGGCGCTCGACCCGCTGGGCAATCCGTAAGGTGGCACCAGGGTCCCATTCAGACGCCCAAAACGAGCTCATATTTACATCTTATTGATGCCTACCTCTCTTTGAACAATTGAAATCCGACAGTGATGCCTTTTTAAAAGGGTCTTGGAAGTTTCCAGGAGCGTTCAGCACCTCTATATCAGCCGGAATGTCATTACTGAAAAACTGGGTCCATGTGTAAAATTGGGATAAGCCCGATGCCAAAAAGCTAATTTGGGTGGTCCTTAACAAAACCATGGAGGCGATCTAAGGTTGCAGAACTTTTTAAAAAGACTGCTTCTCCCCTCACACTTCAGCTGCTAGCCAAGGTGGCCTAGCGCGCAATGGCATAACCATTATTTAAATATATGAAGCTAGGAATCTTCAAATGAGTCATTTGAGGCGTCATCAAAACATTCAAGCTCTCGATTTCGTTGACCGGATGGGAGCGTTTTTGCACAATGCCCGACGACAATCCTTGTCCATCGAAGCTCGAGGTATTTGCCAGCATTGTTCCCTGGTCAAAACACCTTGTTGACCTTGACGTGGCGGAAGAAGGGACGCGCACCTAACGTCAATTAACTATTCCAAGCCGCAATCTGACACCTCGTTTTAACCGAACGGGTAATTGCGCATGCAAACAGAACACCCGACCGGACGATCCGGGCGTTCAGCTTCTCGCGAATCTCAAATGTCATCCGATCCGAACCGCGAGAACTGGATGTTTCTATACTAATCCACATGAATTAAGCATGTGTTCGTTACATGGCGGAGAATAAGGCATGCGTGAACAGTATGCCCACTGGCAATGGCGTTCGTAGACAGTCTTTATTTCGTTCCCTTTCGTTCAGACCGGTAAATTTCTTAATGCCTCTTAATCCCGTGATACGCGATCTGTCATGATAAATGACAAACATATGACGCCCATTTAATACGGTAATTTAAGCCATTCGAAACAATAGCCTAGTGTGTCACCATATTGCACCCCACGAAGTGTAATTATTCGATGTCAGAGCGCTTCTGCTTTACCGAACCGCACGGCAGCTGCTATAGTGCTGACACTCGATGTCAAAGCGCTCCTGCTTTACCGAACCGCACGGTAGCTGCTATGGCTCTGGCCATGTGTGTCCCTTCGTAAGATCAAGATGTACAAGCCTTCTTATAAGCTAGCTATTACGCGCGCCACTGTCTGATTATCCTTCATCAGTTAATCTCAGCAGTAATAAGAGTCCTGTCCTGACCAGCACGCCCTCCGCCTAAACCTCAAGGCGCTCTGCCGAACTTTTGCACGATTTCTTCAATTGCGTGACTACGACGGCGCGGTTCGCATGGAGACCATTCTGACCCACGCTACATTTTCCCATTTGGCCCATTTTCATGTGAGCACAGCGAGCACACTGCCCCTGTGCTTTCCCTCACCCCAACTCCGGTCATGCCCACGGTGACCATCCGGCGCGCGGCGGCGGTGCTCGTCACCTCCTCAAACCGGACCGAACCGCCGCCGACCACGGCACGCGTCCGACGTGTGCCGCTCCGCCGCCGCCGCCGAGCACGGCACCACGCACGCCCCTCCCGGCGTGCTGGCGCGCGCCACCACGCCGGCCAGCACCGGTGTCAAATGAGGGACGACAGCGCAGATAAACACGAGTCGCGGCAACGCGCGCCTGCCCTGCGGCCGCATTGTGGGGCGCCATCCATCAGCCAGGAGCGGCTCCGGTGTCGGCGGCAGGTGTGCTCAGGCCGGGATGGGACAGAACGGCGCCGGACGAGACGGGACGGGACGAGACGGTAGCATTCAAAGTGTGTTTAGAATGTGCGTGCATGCGTAATGGGTGTGAAGAGTTCAACAGCCGAGAGCAATTAAACATGTGATATCGGTGGTGTGTATAATTATCTTGGACAAACAGGCATATTTATCGGAGCACATGTGGCTGCTGCTGTCTACGGCTAAGATAGCGGGGAAAGCCATCGCCGCGTAATCCGAAACATGTGTGCATGAATTAATTTAGCCACGTCCGTATACGCGCACAGGCAAAACACCTTGAGAAACGGACGTGTCGGCGCTCGCAAGCACCTGTGGGGCTCTCGTCAACAAAGTAAGGTCTTTCCGACCTCACGGGAGAGCCATGTCCACTTGCCGAGTGCCCCGGCAAGTGGACATATAGGGTTCTCGGCAACAACGTGCGGTCCCTGGACAGCGTAATGATCTCTGAAGCCTCCCCCAACCACCACTCTCTCAATCAGCGAAGATTGTGTTTTTTGTTCAAGGACCTCCTATTTTCGCAAAGGGCCCTTCAACAACGAAACGACGAATGCGAAACGGATGGGACGGGAGGGACTGGTTAGACAAGCAGGCTTGGGTGGGATCAGGCAGTCAGGGCGGGCGGTACAGGCGGGACAGGTGGAAAGGGCAGGAAAGGTTAGGACGGGACAGGCCGTGCAGTGTCAAACCAGACAGTCCGAACATGACGGGAATGGTAAACCAGACATGTGGGACAGGGTGGGACCGGGTGGGACAGAACGGACGATATGGACCGGAGAACGGGTGAGGACGGTGGCAGGCCGGGACAAGTCGGGACAGTAGCGGACGGGACAAGAGGTCGTGACCGGACCCGACCCGACCCGATCCGATCCGACCCGACCCGACTGGAGGTGGGCACGTGGTCAGCCGGTCAGGCTGGGACGGTCCACGACAGCCACGGCCACGCAGACCTCATTCCATGGTCGGCACCGGCCATAGAAGCCCATAATGCGATGATGCGCTGGCCACTGGGAACAGATAGCACGCTGTGTATGGACTTTCGGGGCACACCCCATCTCTGTACGCTGGCCACTTGTTATGCAATGCACTTTGCTCGGCCTGCTTTTCAAACTACGCGGCATCGAAGGGCGGACGGTACCCATGTACCGTTACGGAAAGCACATATTTAAGCACTCTGCACATGCAGCCGCGCAGCATCTTAATGACGTGAGCCTTATTGCTACGAGCTGTGCACAATCACGATAGGTGTCGGTGAAAGTGTGGGCAATATCTGCCAGGTCAGGCCCAGTCAGGTCCGATAAGACTAAGCCGAGTGGGCCGGTCATTGTCGGTGAAAGAAACGATCTGCCGTCACGTCAAACGACAAGTTCTTGGAAACACAGCACAGTGTCTGCCGATTGAACAGAGAAGTGTGATGTGGTTGGCTCGTAGCCTTTCCACCGCCGCATGTCGTCATGCGGCAGCCAGGTCGGACCTGCGGACCTCTGCAAACACCGCGAGCCCTCTGTCGGCAGGCCGGCCGGCTTGCCTAGTTTGTTGATGATGGTGACAAGGCTGGTCTTGAGCACGGACTGGCCCGACTTGGCGGCGCGGCCCATGCAGCCCTGGTAGAAGGCGTCCAGCTTCCACAGGTAGGAGCGCGACGAGTCCACCCGCTGCAGCGTAGACAGGATCCTCTGCAGACGCCGCTCCTCTGCAAAACGAGCCCGCACCTGCGTCGTCACCACGCCGCTCACACACACGCGGCATGTGACAGATGCTCAGCGGGGAGACGTCCTCTGGCTGCGACGCGCGTCGGCTGAGAGGCCCCGCCGGCTCTCGCTCGGCGCCGCGCTGCCCGTGAGACGACGCGCGCCACCTCGGTCCGAGATGGAGATGCGGCGCGCAAGCCATCCATATCTGCCGGGCAGATATAAGAGTACTCCGCGCCGCACGCACGCCCGACGTTAACATCGGAATCCGGCGGACATTCCCCAGGGTGCCCCAACCTGCGACAAGCCATACCCTCAACAGTTATCAGTCCTCGAGATACAAAAAACATATGGTGAACCGATCGGGCCGCGACAGAATGACGGATGTCTGCCGGCCGGGGCGGCAGCCGCCACAGGAGACAGCAGGCCTGGCCAGCCACTCGGGGACGCTGCAGGCAGGACCAGACGGGACTAGGACCCATGTGGGCGTGTTCTCACTTATCACAGCTGACAGACGGGACTGGGACCCATGTGGGCGTGTTCTCACTTATCACAGCTGACGGTGTCGGGTGAGTGGGACGGGACGGGATGGGATGGGATGGGATGGGATGGGATGGGATGGGATGGGATGGGATGGGATGGAACGCGACGAGACGAGACGAGACGAGACGAGACGGGACGGGACGGGACGGGACGGGATGGATGGGATGGGATGGGATGGGATGGGATGGGATGGGATGGGATGGGATGGGATCAGGCCGAATCGGACCGGATCGGGCCAGGTCAGGTCAGGTTATCTCCGTCTCATACGTTCAAGACCGTCTGAAGAAGTGGGCGAGGCCATTACCGATTTTGAAGTTCATCTACACATGCTGTCACAATCAATGTTAAACGCTCTTGAAAAGTGTGGGCGATGACCCACTGTCCCTCTTGTCCCTACCCCTTACTCGGATCAGATCAGGCCGCCCCAACCCGCCAGCTGACCCGGCTAAGCCCCCTGCGGCCGCCCGGACGTGGGAGGCCGGCGCCTCCTCCCGCCGCCCCAACACGTCATCCCTGGCCGACGGACGCGGTGTGCTGCAGCCGCCGCGTCCGGGCGGACACGCTGCGCCGCGGAAACACGAACCGGCGGCCCGGCAGCCGCGGGCGGGGACGAAGTGCACGCGCCCGGGGTGATGAGCCGCGGACGACACGGTCAGCGCTTTCCGGAAACGTCTGCGACGTGCTGCTTCCAGTCACGAGCACGTGGCCAGCGAGCACCGGAAGACGGGCTGGTCGGAGATCACCGCAGAGTCGCCCCCATGACAGAGTGTTGTAAACAAGAGACGCAGTTGTAAAAAAAAATGGATCAACTGCGGCGATTGCAACAACGTCAACGTTAAACCAGTGCATCCAACAGCTTCGTGGCTTTAATTGCCACCCAACGGGGCCCTTCATGCCCACACCATTCGACACAAGCGGGCCACACGAAAACAGAAGAAGGCATGGCAACTGGATGCCATCCGCATTGTCTCGACGCCAGCCGCTGCTGGCCCCGTGACAGAGCCGCGGGCCGCGCCGGCTCACCCGAGTAGAGCAGCTGGTCGGTGACGCCCCACTGGCTGCTCGTCTCCGGGATCGGGTTGTCGCGCAGCCAGCTGGAGCACGTGTGCTGCCAGAGCGAGTCGCAGGCCGTGTCGTCGCCGCCGGCCAGGCTGGAGCGCAGCTGCCGGAGGAGCGGGCCGCGCGTCAGGGCGCCGGCGCCGGTCGGAGACGCCGGGCTTCGAGCTCATACGGCACACGGCAGGGTCAACAGCGCGTACGCGCACGTTTAAGTGCCGCGCTCGCAGTGAAACATTCTCGTGAGAGATGACGACGTTGATTGGGGCTTGAGGGCGCGCCGGCGCACGGGGTCCTTTTGCGCCCAATCCTCACAAGAGAGCACGCAGCTCATTTTGTATCACCGAACAAATAAGTGAAACTTTTTGCGAAATAGATGGGAGGCGCATTGGGCCGGCTCCCCCCCACACGCATCCATACGCGTCATGTTCTAGTTCACCCTTGTCAGCTTCGCCACTTTCCCCATCGGAGATATGCGGCGGTGGGGTTAGCACGATCGCCCCGTGATCTCACATGCTACGCGGTAGAAACGGAGTGAAACCAAATCAGACGGTGGCCACCCAAGTGCTGCGCGACATTCACGTAGTAATGCCCCGTATTGCTCACAGCTGACCTGTCTGGTTGGTGTTCAATTGCATTACCACTCGCACACCTCTGCCACTCTCGTTCATGACAACGGGGTTCCGAAATAGGCCGCGTAAGACACAGAATTGTATCATCTGTGGCCTTAATTCCGGTTGACCTGAGGACAATTCTCAGGCACTGATGAACATCATGATGTAACAGCTCCACACCGTCAGAACTGGACACAGTCCTGCAACACGCAGAGCTAAAAATGCATGGCACGCCCGCGCCCTCCTGTTCGATTAGTTCGTTCATTCGGTCATTCAGTTGACTAATTTATTGAGTACATCATCCCATTCATTCGACAGACTCTTCATCGCACATTGTCGCCATGATGCCACCTTTCTGCGATCTGATGTATTGGGGGCTAAAAACTTACAAGTTAAGTGCAATCAGGAGTACAAATGCAAGGAAGCTCAGGCAGCCAACATGTTGTAGTGCGCAGAGCAGCCCGGGATATGCTTTCGGCGAAACCGCGTAGTAGAGGCACTGGATGGCAAAGGTCCCATCAGAAATTAGGTCCGGGCTGGGTCGGGTCGGGTCGGGTCGGTCGGATCAGGTCAGGTCAGGTCAGGTCAGGTCAGGTCAGATCAGATCAGATCAGGTCGGGTCGGGTCAGATCAGGTCAGTTCAGGTCAGGCCAGGTCAGGTCAGGTCAGGTTAATTACCACTGACTTTCCCGACTTCTACATTAAATCTACATTGCCTGCGAGTTCCACCCATGGTTTGGCGACCCATTTCCTAACCCCGTAGGCACATTCACCGCGTGATTTCCGAGCGGGCTCTTACACGAGTTATGACGTCACGAATTCCTGGCAAAGTTGGCACGGCAGCCTGACGTAGCTGATCTTACCAGAAGGCGATAGCGACGTCTCCGTCGGCCTGTCATACCACTGAGACATGATGATTCCTGCGACGGTACTCAGAGCTGTGGCCGTTGTGCAAGCATTCCGCAATGTCATCAGTCTGGCTCCGGGGGGCGCCTCCTGTGCTCTGTCATCAGTCTGGCTACGGGGGAGGAGGGGCCTCCTGCGCTGTGTCATCATCAGTCTGGCTCCGAGAGGTGCCTCCTGTGCTCTGTCATCAGTCTGACTACGGGGGAGGAGGGGCCTCCTGCCCTGTGTCATCATCAGTCTGGCTCAGAGGGGCGCCTCCGGCGCTGTGCCACCATCATGTAGCTCTACATGTTCGCTCAGTCAGCTCATAGTTTAAACGCATTTGCTAGTGTCGTGCAAAGCTTTCACTAAACATCCCGCGAGGGTGGAGCGTGCTTCTTTATAGGCTTTCACCAGTGCAGATTGCGACCCAGATCTCGCCGGCCGAAACATCACTACCCTTGACGGTCCAAACAGAAGACCACCGCGCGATTGGCCTGGCATTCTACATAGTGCAGACGCTTGCTGACGTGCGGTGTACCGTCCGGCACGGCTGTGCGCGCTCCACCCGCTCTCTGGCGAGGGTCAGGGACCTGCCGCAAGGTCAGGTCTGCTAGGCTGGGGCCGTGGATCAGATCGAATCGGATCGGATCGCAATGAGTCAGGTCGGTTCAGGTCAGGTCAGGTCAGGTCGGGCTGAGTTGGGTCGGGTCGGGTCGGGTCGGGTCGGATCGGGTGGTGGGGTGGGGTGGGGTGGGGTAGGGTGGGATGGCGTCAATGCGGGTCGGGACGACAGCCTGCCGCGACCTGACCGCGTTGGGACGGCGTCGGGACCCAGTGCGCGAGACGAACTAATTTTGGCTCACGCGCGGCCACAGCGTGCAACACGAGGCGCGTTCCGCACCCCGGCCGATAGTGCCGTCCGCTGCTGACCGCTACTCTCCACATGCATTGACCTTTCGACGTGGAGCAGTGCGGAAACGGAACGCGATAACAGACACTGCGAATTACGCCGTGCCATTGCTGTCGCCGGACGCTACCGTTGCCGAAAAATTACGGCCGCCGGGCATCAGATCGCGCGAAACGCCGCCTGGCGGCAATTATTTCAAACACTGAGCGTCTAGTGCCCTTCTCGCTAGTAATGCAAAACATAGAGATCGGCGAGCATCCATCAACCCCAAGGTGGAGTTTGTTAAAGGTAGACAACTTCCGGGTGAAAATATCCCAACCCTGGTCAATTCATATTAGAACTCCTTTAGCCATCTACAATTGATTTCAAATAGCATTGGCCAGGCTGTGTAAGTTCCCATTCACCTTCACGCATTACATCAGGGTTTCCAATGCATTTGAGTCTGTTTGGTACCTAAGGAGGAATTTGATGCAAACTTCTCACACGTAGCTTATTGCAAGAATTACTGCACACAAATTTGTACCGCTTACGGCGTTGTCGCTCAGGCAGGGGTTCTGAAAGCAGCACACTTCCTTGATCAAGGGTTTCCGACTAGGGTACGCCGGGCTCACACACCAACGAAGACTTACAGCTCACGCAAAAGGTGGTGCAGATGGTGCAGCATGGTGCTAACGGTATGGTACTACCGGAGCGTCTCTACCGAAACACTCTGGACAAGCGCGAGTAAACCCTTTTGGAAAACAAGTACCGAGGAGAGCTGTTAGAACAGGGCTTAGTATTGTACATGTCATACGTTGACTACACCAAACAGACAACCACGTCTTCGCTTTACCGTACCCAGCGAACAGTATCACCATTCCCAAAACAAACATTAACAGAAGCAAACGTCTCATTTACCGCGTAAAATATTCCAAGCACGCCCGGCCAGGCTGGAATTTCGACCTCGCACGGCGTCCGTTTGGGCGGTTCGATTCGGAGCTCGTGACCTGGCACCAAGCCAGGACTATTCACGCCACGCGATCCGCCCGAGGTTGATCAAGGTCATGGGACCAACCACTGAGAACGTGAGGCTGAGGCTGGTCAAGGTCATGGGACCAGCCGCATGAGAACCCGAGGCTGCTCGGTCACGGTCCACATGTGGGCGGCTTCAGCCAGTCATGGCAGGCTTCAGCCAATCAGCCAACGGGAGAGCGGCCGATCCCGGCGAACGCCCCTGAAATTCCTTCCGCTTGGCCCACCTACTTTCTGGAGAAAATAAAAAAATCCTGGGGCTTGAGACAGTGGCAGCCGCCTGGGACGAGACCGGCGCGCGCTGCGCATCCCATGAGTACCACTAGTACCTTCAACATGACGTACCGGACAGTTCATCCTGCGACGTTGCCTATGATTACGCAGAATGTTCAGCCAGCACTTTAAAGGAATCTCTTGGGGACTACCGATAAGTCATTACTGACGTCAATAGTATAAGGCCACGACACCTCCACCAAATTTATCTCAACCATCCGGAATTCTTCCAGTTTGCCACGCACTCGCTCCAACGCCACAATAGTTCTGCAAAGTTTTGGCCTTTACACCTTTCGACCCACGTCTGGTGCAGACGTCTGCAGCAATGTCCACGTCCCTCCGCCAACACCGCGGCGGTCCGCCGAGCCGCCGCCCCTGGCCGGCAGGCACGCACGAGGCGACAGGCACCATCGGGTACTCGTCGGCCGTCTGAATGGGCATCGGCGTGATTGCCTGCGCCGGCCCGCACAGGCGGCGCTAATGCGGGCCGACACGGCAGGCGCGAGCGGGCGCCCGCCAAACGCGCCCGCTCGGCCGTCCCATCGCCGGCGGCCAGCGAGCGGGATTCGCCGCCCACGGTCGTGGATAGATTCGCTACGGCCGGGGCAGCAGCATGTATTGAACGGAGTGCGCCAGGCATTCGCCGCCGTAAAAATGCATAGGGGAAATGGAGTGCGATATTTCTTCCGGTAAGTTTTATGTGCGGAAGTAACGACCTGGCTCACGGATAGTGACGGGCTGTACGGCTTCGGCTGCACTTACTGTAACGTGGTCAGTGGTCACTGCCCAGGATCAGGCAAGTGTTTTGACGTTCGCGGCGTGCCATGAACACAGTGGTCTCTAGAGCCTGGGGTGCAGCGTTTTGGACCCTGATACGGCATTGATGCGTCGTGGGACTGGCAGCGTATTCCGGCACGTCATGCCAAACCAGCCCTCGGTCCATATATATATATATATATATATATATATATATATATATATATATATATATGTATATCATGTAAGTGAGAAAACCCAAACTGAGTCAAGCTAGTATTCTTCGAAATCTGGCTTTGACATCTTGTTTATTCACCCGTACCCTTTGGTGCACTGAAGGTCGTTTTGTGTCCTCGTGCATTTATTACGCAAACATTACCATTGCGAATACGTGAAGGCACACACTTAATGTTTTTACAAATCACTTCGAATTTCAATAACACAATTGGGGCTGCGGAGCATATTTCGACTTTGCAGACGAGCGCAATTCTGCGTTACGCGAGCAAGATTACACTTAAGCAACAACAAGTTAAATTTACATGCATGGATACTTTCCAAATCCATGCTAAAAGCGCAGTTACGGTTAAACCTTTCGTTCAATAGAAAGAAGGCTTATTGGACAAGAACACAAGGTGCGAAACTCAGACCGGCTTCCCA